GTATATTATGGTGATGTGTCTACAAAAGCAACATGATATTGTACATATTGATGTTGTATCTTATCCAATGAATTCGATCTTAAAGCTAAGTAAACTCAAAAATCACAACATTTGTGATTCCACTTGTTTGTAGACTTGTCTGGAATCCATGATACGATAAATCATTTGATTGGAAATGTAAATGTAGTCATGAAAGGCGCCTGCTTAGTCAAGATTCCCCTAATAAATATTCAAGTGCATTACAAAGTTGTACATGTATGTATAATGTTCTTTCATGGGTTATGTTTTGAAGAGAAGCAAGAATGAATCTCATAAAGTCATTAATATCAGTAGGAGATGATGTGAGATTTGCTGTAAATGAGTAAAGGCAAAATGAATCAGGAGGGTAACCACTGTTGCATTTGTTCTCATTTGGTCCTTTTTTTTTGTACTCAATATACCATCGAACTTGTTGTTTGTGTTCACTATAACCCTTTGACCGGCTATCACATGTCAAAAGCCGGTCAAAAGGGTTATGATGAACACAAACAACAAGTTCGATGGTATATTGAATACAAAAAAAAGGAAAGGGACCAAATGAATACAAACGCAAAAGTTAATTCCATCGAGAGTCATTTTCCCCAGGCTTTACAACCTAATGAAGATTTTTATTAAATGTTTATTAGTTAAAATAGCAATCCCGAACGGCCGAACACCCCTAAAACCCCCAATTACCAAATCTCGATTTAGATATCTTAGGACAAAGCATCATCAAGTTGCGCTTGTTCCGTTGTCCGAATGTATAAACTGATGCGATCATCAAAACAAATCCACTTCTCATAAAAGAATCGGCGTCCTATTTATGTAAAACAGGAATACAGGATCAATATACATGTGATGCAAAGTTGTCGGGGGTGAGTAGGAGTAATTTGAAGAAAGAAATGTCACAGGATGCTGCTGCTACTGCGAATCTTCAACTGAGTGAAGTGTATTGGTCTCTCGTAGCTAAAGCCGACAAGAAGTTCTCCAAAATTAGAGACTTGCCCTATTACGAGCATCACAGGTCGGCTCTTTTTCTGTTTACTGTACTTGAGTTTGTGTTTGAGCTAGCAAAGGATCAAGAGCCTGACTTTTTTGAGTTATTATTTTCTAGAATCCTAATTTTCAGTATTTCTGATACAATTTCATTTGAGCTTCTGTTGAATGTTTATATGCTTCTGTAGAAATTGGCGTTATTCGATCACCCATGCTTTAAAATAGTAGAAATCGGCCATGATAGCTTCCTGAATTGCGATGTTCTTTATTTGAGATCCATCGTTTTTAAGTTTTAGGGTTTCAAAATATGGACACTGTGAAGTCTGAGTTTTTAGCTAATTAGAAGAAAAGAGCTAGTGTTTTACACTGTTGCTATAAATTTGAAAGATCAAATATGAATGTATTCCACTTTTAGTATCACACAAATTTAATATAATCATTGTATGCATTGATAAACTAACCAAAATCAAAATCATTCAACACTATAACACCTGAAAGAAACTGAATTGACTTTTAGGTTGGACTCTAATTTCAGAATAATGGAAACTGGAAAGTGAAATCATTATCTATGCTTGGCTTCAGTAAAATAATAACAGGAAATATATCAAACTAAACATGATTACATAAGTGATTAAAGCTTTATGATGCTGTCAAGTGCTAACATACCTTCATTTATGTGTATTTTAGCATTCTACTTTCATTTATTTCTCTTACATTACAACATTCTACTTCTGTTTCTATTATGAAGACATTGTACTTTGAAAAATCTACTCATTATAGCTTTCTATTTGGATAAAATTTCTATATTAGGTAGATTTCTCAAAACTACAATGTTGTAATATAAAGAAATGAAAGTAAGATGCTACAATAAACAAAAAATTAGAGTCTGAAATCCATGAACAAAGTGTTGTTGCATCAGGTATGATACACACTTCCACAAAGTATTCAAAGTTTATACAAAATTATGGAAATTCCAACAAGAAAATCGACAAAAGCTGGTGGAATCTGGTCTTAAAAGATGGGAAATTGGTGATATTGCATCAAGAATTGGTCAACTTTATTTTGGGCAATATATGAGAACAAGTCAAGCCAGTTATTTATCAGAGGCTTATATTTTTTATGAAGCAGTTTTAACAAGGGAGTATTTTAAAGATGGATTATTCCAAGATCTTAATCTTGCAAATAAACAACTGAGATTTCTTGCTAGATTTTTGACAGTTTGTCTTGTGTTGAATCGAAGAGAAATGGTGTATCAGTTGGTAAATCAGCTCAAAATGTTGGTTTCTGAGATCAAAAGGGCGTTTCAGGTATTTAATCTTTTTGTTATTTGTTACAAGGGGTATAAAAGTTTTAAACTTTTATTATAACATGTAGTTTATTTGTAAATTCTTAAAGACAAACGTTTTTTAAAGTCAAGTTGTAAAATTATTTTGTAAAAGTAACTAGAAAGGTATTTTTATGCTATAATATTATTTCTGTTTTAATGACCTTTGATTTTGTTTAATTTTTGAGTCTTTTAGATAATAATTTTTATAATCATAACTAAATAATATTTAGAATAGTGTTAAAGGTTAAAAGTTAAAAACTATATCATGTATTTTAATGTAATGTAAAAAATCATATGAAAGTTCATTCCTAAACACTATATACAATTTTTAATGACACATTTTAAGAAAAAGTCATTATTTTAATTAAGTTATAATTTTATGTTCTAAAAGTAACTAGAAAATTTATATTTTTATTATAAGGTTTTTATGCAGAAAAGTCCCATTATTTTGGGAAATTTTTTGATAAAGTCCTAAATCTTTTTTTTTTAACAGAAAAGTCCCAATTATTTAACATTTCGTCCAAATTAAGGAAAAACTTTTTTTTTTTGGGGGGAAATTGTCAGAAAAGTCCAAATATTGGGACTTTTCTAACAATTTCCTTATTTATTTATTTATTTTTATTTTAACAGGAAATGCCAGATTATGTGATTTTCCCAAAATAATGAGACTTTTCCGCATCAAACCCTTATAATGCTACTTGAAATTGAATGAAACTTTTTTTATTATGTTTAATTTTTTATTTTTATAAATAATTAGTTCTATAT